ATATATATATACGTATGTATATATACTTCAAGTATCAAATCGACATGTGGGTGCGTACTTGCGGTTATGAAACGATAATAGCATAGTTACTCGTATTCTCATTCTGTCAATTGATCATTATATTGACTTCCTACTGTCACATTTTAAAGCAATACTACGCCTTCATGTCTCACCACACGCATCATATCAGTGTGCTTCGAAGCAGTATGTGCTCTTTATTATAATACAATCATAACTGCGTGGTGTGTTTCGTAATGGTCCTCTTTACTTTCTTCAACAATCTTCAGGCTGCTGCTGATGCCATTGATATAGACGCAGATTCTAATGCAGAGACATTGTCGGCCCAAAACATCCCTCCCATCAAAAGCTCAGTACCCCCATCAACGAACATCGTTAAACCAAAGGTCATAAACATTATGAAGCACTAGGATATTTTGTATATACGTATACCTGTGTACATGTTTCATATGTATCCCAGTAGGAAAATGTGCATGTATCCGGAATATCGTATTGTGTATTGTTCATAGTGTAACCCAACATAGAGAAACATACAATCGTGACGGAAGGGGGATGTAAAGGGGAGGGATACCACGCTATCATCGAATTCGCTGATTCTCATCGTTCAGTACCTGGTTTACAGTGGTCGTTAATTTGTTTTTAGGACTACTTCGTCAGATAATCAGAGAGGCCAAACGCATATCTGGGAAATGTATCTAGATCCAAGGACTCCTGTTATTGTGAATACATGTTGATTGCGATTCTAGTCTTCGCTTGTCCAATATGATACCAAACACTCTTTAGATACTACAAGTCATTTCCGCTCTCTTATACCCAAATCTCATACATCGTTTCTTTACTCCTATCTCTCAGGTGGAGAGTTATATTAGAGCCGAAAAAGGACTTCATAGGTCAAAGTTTTCTAATGTTGCAAGCACAGCTACACCGGCGCCGAAACCGACAATCAACTCACAGGGTGAAACCTCTACTTCCACCGCTAGCATGCCAAGTTCACTGGCCAAAAGTCCAGGAATACAGGCCACAACTACAGGAGCACAGACAATTGATTTGACTGAGATCGACGACAGCCCTCAGAAACAGCATAAACCTGGCCCTACCACTCACACCAACACGCACACCAACACACATGCGCATACGCAAACCAATACTACAAAGAATAAGAATGCACATTACCCGCATCCTGTGTTTGGAGATGACGGTGTTGAGAGTGGGGAAGGGCCGGCACCGATACACAAGAGACTGAATGTGGCGGAGGCAAACAAAAGTACCGGAAGTTATATGGGACAGACTGGTGTAACAGGTGCGCTGGACCCTATGGGCGAAGATGACATAGATGAAGACGAGCCAATGAGAACGACGGGAATTAACAAGGCACCAATGGGAATTAGCAACGAGTCGGTGATCGAACGTTCGGAGGATAGTGGCAGTGGGAGTGAGGGGGCGAGTGATGATGAAGAGGTTGACACAGGTATGGCTGTGGATGGGACAGATAGCGAGAACGAAGCTCTCTTGGATCAGACTGACAGGCAGCCCTCCCAGGGAATAGAAAGGTAGGTACAGAAAGATATCGAATACATACATGTGAGATACATTCTGTTCTGTACAGTCAAATCATGGTTTAATAGTGATACATGTTCACATAGTTTTCCAGGCGGTATTGGCATCTACTCTCACGAATCGATTATATGCATATGAAGTATATATATATATATATATACATATGAAGTATATATATATATATATATATACATATTCAGACTTGTGTATATGTACATATATACATATATTCATAAGCTCATATAGGTGTGTAGATGTGCGTGCATCCATTAATCAAATATTACGCCAAGTCTTCGCTACAAGGTATACTGGCAAGCAAATATATCGCAATGACGAGGAAATGTTGTTGATTCATTTAGAACGTCCGCGGAGACTTGGTTGCAGAGAACTTTCACCAAGCACCATGCTAATCAGCATCTGATTGTATGCTTCTATTCGAAATATACTCACATGTGACAATTTACTGAAGCATATGTCCGCACACATTTGTTTGTATGTGACTGCAGTTAGAGGAATTAGGACGGTCGTGGTACTTTGA